TCTAAGATGTTTTATAGATATTTTTGCTGTCTGAGGTAAATGGGGGAGGATTACACCTATTTTACAGACTGGTGAAATCAGAGCATAAGGAATTTAAATGACTCACCCAAGATTACACAATAACTCAATAGCAGACCCCAGCAGAGCCTGGAGTGCTCAGAACACTGGCCCAAACTGTCTCCTTGGCCTTGTCTTTGCTTTCAGACACTGAAAATACAGACAGAGTCAAAAATAGAAGAACAGAGCTTGTTTATTCTTCTGCTTATATATTAAACATAAGTTCTCTTTCAGTGAATAGTTTTGTTGTTTATATTTTCATGGGAAATCTAATCATTGAAGCAATTCATTCCAGACTTTTGCTATTCCCTTTCACAAAGCAACATATAGATACTGGAACAAAACTACTGCTACCACAAGCAGACCAGTGTGGTTCCCATCCTGGAAGCCCAAGAAAACTACCCTGTAATGTTAGACCACAACAGCTTTTTATTAATGTTACATCTTGGAGCTCTTCTCTGAATAGGAAACTTTCCTCCCAAATTTATTTGAAATCATATACCTATACCCTGACCTGATTTCTTTTTTCTCAGCCTGGTTAACATCATAAAATGGATCATTAATATGTCCTTTGAAAATGATGCCAGTCCTGTGTAGCTTAGACAGCCTGTATGTGTTGGTGCAAAGAAATCTGCTCCTACTGTACAGGATGTGTGAGCCAGAGAAGAGGGAGAGGGTTAAGAAAGGGAAAACATATACTGGAATGTAGTGGCATAACAAATCTATCCCTAATCTTGAAAGCTCCATAGTGCATGAGTAATGAAACTAAAGATGAATTATTACAGCTTGCACTCATAATTTACAGGTACGAGTGTATTATCTTACAGCATAAATATTCCATTTAGGCTTTGTGATGGTTTTTTTTTCTCCATATAGGAAAATAAAAGTAGTATTAGTCACATGTCCATAGCTTTGTCAGTGGCTGCAAAATGTTTTTCTTTCCAGGAGGAAAGCACACTGAATAATGCAACACTTCTATTTAGGCTGGTTTTTCATACATTGACACTTCGAAAATCTAGAAACAGTTCTTTTAATTTTAAGGGCTACAATGTCTGCTCCCTTTATTCCTGCCCTTTATCATCTTACACACCGTGTTCTTATAGACAAGGGGGGAAAAAAAACATTCCAGTGTCTAATAAATCTGAAATCCATCAGGGGCTGCAAAGCGTTCGCTCTCCTGCCCTGGTTCAGATCGAGTTACATCCAGCAGCACAACAAATGCACTTTGTGCACCAACACCGATGGATTAAGCACTTTCGCTCATTTTTCCAGGGTGAGAACTCAACTAAATCCTTTTTTTTTCTTTTTTTTCTTTTTTTTTTTTGGAGTTTTGAATATTTTTAACAAAGAGAATGGCTGCACAATTGATTTTCGAGCAAGGAGAGGGAAAAATCATATTACAATAGTTGTTGCTGAGCAGAATTTTAATATTGCTAAAGGACTTTAAAAATATTTTATGATCCGGGCCTCCCTTAGCACACAGTGCTCTACCTTTGGTTTTCTGAGCTAATTTATAAGAAACTCTGTGTGCAGGTCTCAGTAGTCCTTTTTCTGCTCTTAGACCTTTTGCTGCCTGTTAAGAGTGAAGTTGCACATGCTGTGCTTTCACAAATGGGAATTTTACTTTTGTTCTTTCCTGTTGCATTTCCCTAAAATAAAATATTTTCTGAGGGGAAAAAAAAAAAAAAGAAAAAGAAGTATTTTATTACTATTTGTGTAAGGAAATAATGTAATATGGGGCCAACTTTTTGGGCACACCAGGACTGATTTTCTAATACATGATCTCACAAGTATGAGAGATTTTATTTCAATGAGCTCAGTTCACAGCTACAGACCTAAAAGAGGGGTAGATTAATAGGTGTCAGGCAATTTAATAGTTTCTTTCTGACCCTTGTAGACAGCACTTTTTTAGAAGAGCTGAGCCCTCAGCAAAGTGAGTCCTAGAAATCAGAAGCTAATGCTGAACCCTTCTAAAAACAATAGCACTTCTCAGGTACCTGCATTTCAGTTTGTGCCTCTGTGAAATGGGAGCATTAATAATGAGATAAATCATTACTGAAACGGTCAGGGAAACAACTCTATGAAATGCTTTTAGTTTCAGGGATGCTAAATAAAATTAAAACAAATAAATGATTTATAGAACTGACCTGTCAGGTTTAAAGCTGTTCGTGGAGATATTTCAGTATTTGTTTTCACACAAAAATTAAGTTGCATTTATCAAGGGCAGAGCAATTTCCAAAGTGAATAGTGACCAATGTGTCCAGTGTAAGGAAGAAATAGTAGTTCCAGCTGATGTAAGAGGGTCTCTTCCACATGGCACAGGAATTCAAGTCTACAGACATGAAAGTGGAAGGGCAGTAGCAACAAAAGAGCAACAGAGGAGATGTTCAAAGACAAACTTTCAAAGGGGCACGTGCTGATCTGAACAATCTGCTGAATGTGTGTACACAGTTTAGGGGGGTTACAGTCACACATGAGCATTTTCCTACAGCCAAAATTAAGCATTTATGTATTGGCAGACTGGAAAACATGGGCACTGAGGGCCATCCAGGTACGTGGGGCAGAGCTGTGGTCGGGGCTGTTATATTAACTTCTCGTCTCGTCCTCAGCTTAAACAGAAGAGAGAGCAGAGCAAACACTCCAGCCCAGCTCATCACTGGCTTCTGTACTGGATTAAAACAAGACCAGAATTCAGACCTCTCATTGTAGGTAAGAAAAATAAATGATGTCTTCCATGTTCCTTCTGCCAGAGGGGGTTCTTTTTTCCCCTTCTGGCATTTTGAGCATGCAGGGGACACCTGTGCATTGTAGAAGGCACTTCTGCTGCACTCAGTTTTCATGAGGAGTAGTTTACCAAATGTGGAATACTGTAAATGATTCTTAGTGTTTCCTTCGAAAAAAACCAATGTTCCCAGTGCTGGCCTGAAATACTCGCCTGAAGGAAAGATGTTATGGTCATTTAAAAATCAGGGATGGCTCCAGTGAGGGAGCAGAGGGAGGAGAGCGCTGTGCAGAGGGATGCCAAGGAGAACTGTCTGGTGGTTACTCCTTTCTTTGGGTGACTTGAGTGTTACACCAGAGATATCACTGCTGTAGCTGTGAGGAGTCACCCATTTAAGCTGAAGAGGATGGTTGTGTTTTAAAGCAGAAGCATCTGCAGTCCCCAGTGAGCATTTCTTAAGAAACGGTTGAAACTGTCAGTATTTTAGGAAAGCTGGAGGTATTGCAGCCATTTCCTATCAGATGATGTCTCTCTAAGCATACAGGGTAATAGGACTGCTTTGAGCAGATTAGGTTAAATACTAAACTTGACTTCGTTAATGCTGATGGAAACACAGAGCTCAGTATTCTGTGCAAAATTATATTTTGAAGGAAAGCCTCCTTTTAAGTAAGACTATACCAGTTCAGAACTGTTAAATTTGATACTGTTATAACATAACACATTTCAAAACTGAGTGTCAAGGAGTAGAAATGTTCCAGTCCTGTAAGAGCAAATTCATAAACTTTGACATTTTTGGTGGTCTTCGTTTCTACTTTTCAAACGAATTTCCATCAGAAAACTTTGTGTGGGGAATAAACGTGGCAAACTCACTCCCAAGGATCTCGAGGCAAGTAATTATTCAGTAATTATTTTAGGTTCATTATTCTGATTAAATGGTGAGTAAAGTAATCATCATTTATCTCTGGCCTGCTGTATTTTTGTTTGCAGTACAAAACTGCAACAGAGAGCTCAGAGAGTAACCTTGTTGCCTGAGCAGTCCTGGCATCCCTGATGATTCCTGTGCACTAACAGGGTAATAATAAACAGAAATGCCTCTTGAATTACAAGTTCCATTGGAATCACAGGGGGAAGGTCAGTGTTTGCCAAATTGAGGAAGACAAAACTGGCATGAAAGGAATTTTATGTTCGAGCTTCTCAGAGGGGATTAGAAGTGCTTTCTTAATAGTGACTGAAAGGGAGCTGGAATGGTGTCACTGAATGTACAGACACTGCCCTGCTTATGCACACACACACACACAGTCACCACATCCAGCAGCACAAGCACCAAATGCTTAGGGTTGCTGCAACGTTTGAGGGGGTTTTAAAAGACATTTTTTTCGTCCTTCATCTCCACATGCTAAATATATAATAAGATACCTTGTTTTCTTGCCCTGTAGACCCACATGACCAAAATGAGGGACATTAGTAAGTGTTAGAAAAAGTATTCAAGTGTGAAATGAATTTCTCAAACATTAATAAGTATTTCTAGAACCTCAGTTTCATAATTTGACAGTTCCACAGTTAATAAATCACAGCAAAAGGAAAGTGTGATAACAGCAGAGCAAAAGGAAGCCTGGATCTATGAAGTGCAACTGAGGGATAAGTGAAAGAAGCATGCTGATGACCCTGAGTTTACTTTTGGGTTTTCTGAGCTTTCACTCAATTAAATTCATTCCTCTCCTCTAAAGACCTATTATGTGCCTTTACCTACGTTCCTAACTGATTTTTCTTGTAATACAGCTCCTTTGCCAAGTCACTTCCATGATTTAAGGGGCTCTGATTAAAAAAAAAAAAAAAAAAAAAAAAAAAAAAAAAAAAAAAAAAAAAAAAAAAAAAAAAAAAAAAAAAAAAAAAAAAAAAAAAAAAAAAAAAAAAATAAGTAGTAACATTGAGATGAAAGGAGCATCCACACTGTATTTGAGAAGGTTTTCTAAAGAGGTGGGTTGATTTTAATTAACTTCCTGAATGAAACAATTCAGGTCTGGAGCTGGCAATCTCCAATAATCACTCTTTGGCCTCTGGATGAAAAAGGGAGTCAATTATACAAAACAATGCCACGAAAAGGCAGTCAATGGAAGGAAGTAGTTATGTGTATGACAGCAGTACACACACTGAGGAGGCCCAGCATCCAGAGGCCCAACACGAGATTAGTCCCCACTGCAGTAGACATGAAATACACACTGGAAGAGACAGCCCCCTCACTCCAGAGCTTATCTTCTCTGCAAGACTGGTTCCTGTTTATATATTTTGAGCATTTCCCCTAATTCAGACTATATGCACAGAGAGATTTAACTTCACAGTGAGCTGCTGTCTCCAGAGGACCACAAACTAGTTCCAGTTACCCAACGATGTGACCACTCTGTGACATGAACATCACTTGGTGTCACTCAATAGATCCTGCATCCCTAATTCTTTATCACTGCCCCTCCTTTTGTGTGTTCTCAAAAGAGGCGACTTACACCACGTTTTCCTCAGGAGGAGTTAAAGGAAATACCCAAAACCTTCCAGTTGCCCTCAAGCAAGAAGGATCAAGAATGAGAGGGAAAAAAAGTGTCCTTTAGTGAGAATGGCTTGGCAAAGCTCATGATAAGAGGGTATTATGCAGATCTTTGTTCAGCCCTTGCCACAACAGGATCCCCAGCGTGGCACATCCTCCCTTCAGACACACATCTATGCCACTGCACCTTCAACCTACCCAGCAGAGCTCCTGGACTTCTGCTGAGCAGAGAATGTAAGTCAAGAGGGTTGTGTTAAAACTGCTCGTGGCTTTTCTGCTGCTGGGAGAGAGAGAAAAGCCTTGTGATGGAGTTCAGAGGCTGAACTCTGTCACCTGTCAGTTCCACTGACATTAATGTGGTAATTCTGGGTTAGGATTTGGTTTAGGAAGGCATCCTCAAGCAGGAGAGCATGCTGGTTTAAAAGCAGGCATATTTATGAAAGGTTGCCCTGCAGTGGTTGTTTTTATTGATGTAATTCAGAGCAGAATCTGACCCACTGACTCTGAGCTCAGAATACAATTACTCAATAGTTTAACCAGCAAGGTAGGCTCTGTGGGAAGAAAACAGAATTGGCATTTAAAAGTGAGATTTCCTTTGCCACTGCTGGTGTATTTTTCCTTTTGTCAGCAGAATTAGTGAGTTAATTAGAGAATTAAAGAGCAAGCAGAAAGGGACTATGGGAGGAGTAGGGAAGCTTCAGGGTTGTGCTTTTATCAGAACGGCATTGCTTCATTCTGAATCACCTGATCTACGGATTTAGCAAAAGAAATTTTGAGACACTTGAAAAATGAACGAAAGTGATCCTGAATGGGAGGGGAAAAAAAGCTAAAAGTAAATAGCTTAAGTAAATCTGTCCAAATGTCACATGTAAGGATGGCTCCACTCTGCTTAATGACAGGAGAGCAAGGAAGGTAAGGGGGAGGAAGGGACCCTTTTTGAAGGACTGTTGTTCTAATGTACCTGTGTTTATTTTAAAAGCTTTTCAAGGAGGTAGGGAGGGAAGCTACTGTCTCCCAGTGATAAAAGTTGAGTGATTAAGGACCCCATTTGGGGGCAATCTGCTCTCTGTCTCTGTAGTTGCCTACAAAATCCCTGATATGCAGGTAAAGCGAGCTCAGGAGAACATGGCTGATGGGAGAGGACTGAGAAGCAGGACTCCTGGACTTTTTTCCTAGTCCTGGCACTGACTGTGTGTGCAGGCGAGTGGAAGTTCAGTGAAACCACCTCTGACTAATGAGGACCATAGTCTTTACTCCCTCCCTAAGACGGGGAGGCACTGAGGCTGCAGGAGTGTCTGCCAGATGTTGGGTTCGTGGCTGAGAAGTGGCTCAGACACAGAAAGTATCTGGTAGTTTAAACAGACCAGTGTGCAGAGCTAGATCCTTTCTGAAGGAATTCTAATTCCTGTAACATATCTGTTCCTGTTCTAATTAGCCATGGTGTGTGAACATCTGCACCCACCATCTTCCTGTTATGTGGCAAATAATCTCATGGTTTATGGTTCCTCTGTTACAAATGGATTCTTGCTCAGCATCTGATATTAAATATCAGGCTCGAGTCCACTGTGCTGCGTGTGAGCCACTCTGTTTTAAAAGACAAAAGCTTTTGCTTCAGTCGCTGTCATGTACAGACACTGCAACCTGGCTCTTGTGGAGCGAGCTGGCTGTGGAACATCTCCCTGCAGGTTGCTGAACATAAAGGTATTCTTGGGTTTAGTTCCAGGAGATTGTTCTGCCAGAAGTTCAGAGTCAGTTCCAGCACTCGCTGACCCCTGCTGTCCTCACACACCTCAAAATGGCCCTTATTTAGCAGAGAGGAAAAATCTCTTTCTCTCTGTGCCTCTCTCCTGTGCTCTCTCTCTCTCATGTAACGTTGTCCTTTACGAACAATGACAGATTCTCACTGCTCCTCGTGTGCCCTTCCATTGAGATGAGGAGCTAAGTCCAGATTTGTTTTTGCTGTCATTCCAAATGAAGCCAGAGGAGTTATTCTGGGAATCATCTGCATTCTGCACTTTACCTAAACAAATTTGAAAGGACAGGTTTTTGAATGCAACTGATCCTGCAAGGTACACAGGGTCTTTAGTCAATGAGAGAGAAGGGCATTCACAGCCACGCTGTGCAAGAAGGGGCATTTTCATAGCACATGCAAAATGGTTCCAAAACTGCTTTTCCCTGTGTTTTGTGACGTGATCAAATCAGACCTCAGAAAACATAAGAAAGGATAGAGAGAGAAAGAGAGAAAGGAAGAAAGGAAGGAAGAAAGGAAGGAAGGAAGAGAAAGAAAGAGAAAGTGAGAAAGAAAGAAAAGAAGAAAAAAAGAAAAGAAAGAAAAGAAAGAAAGAGACTTGAAGTAAATGAATGCAAAATTTCCTAGAAATAAGCCTGAATGCTGTCTCAAAGCCAAGACAAACAGCATCACCCCAGCAAGCCTCTGGATAAATTTGGAGGGTGTTTAGTACCAGTCTCAGTGCAGAACTCCTAAACAAGGAGAGCAAAGGCTCAGCATGGCAGAATGGGCCAAGTTTTAATTTGGATCTGGTTTTATGTCCCAGCTTCATTGGAATGAACCTCAAAGGGCAAAGAGTCACAAATTGTGACCCCTAAAATATCTGTCCGTGTGAGTTGGGCTCTTTGTCCTTGAGGATCTCTGGCTGTCGCTTAATGGAGCTGCAGCCCAAGAAGGGAGACAGATGGTACTGATGGGCTGAAATTATACTCAGCTAAGTGCAAAGCTATAACTGCTATTTGTCATTCTAACATCACTGATTTGTCTAGAGAGAAAAACAAATAAGTTGTTGGGGGAGTAAGCAACTGCCTGGCTGTGGCCAGGCCAGATTGGAAGTGGGTGTAAGGCTCAGCACACAGAGACCCAGGTGCCATCAGCACTCGAGGGAGGTTATTAGGATGTCATTTCAGTTTCTTTCTCTGTCTGTCTCTCTCTCTCTGCTTGCTGTGGAGGTGGAAGGTGCGTGTGTTGTGAGGTGAACTGGGGAGTGAAGATAAAAATCTGTGGTAAGGAAATGCTACAGCTTTATCTCTGTTCTTTGATGTGGCAGGACAAATTAATTGATAACAGAACCAGCCAAAGCAGATGTGGTCATGGCCTCCTGAACTGCCCTATTGCAAGGAAAGGGCCCAGCAACATCAAAGACAAAGGTCAGCCAGCATTCCCCAAGCACAAAAAGACAAATCATGACAGGCAAATAGCTCAGGCTGCCATTGGAAAGGAGTTATTACCACAAAAGATGATGTCTGGCACATGGCCACTCTCCCAATCAGCTGGATGCAGTGGCTTCTCTTCTCTGCCATTTCCTTCTGTACCCAAAGGCAGAGTTTGGGCATAACATTTTCCTGTAAAAGTGACTTACTTTGTGTGCAGTGGCACAGGAGAATTAAAGCACAGAGCAGAATCCAGGGAACTGGCCAAAGCCGTGCCATGGAGTTAGAAAACTGAGCTCTGCTAGTTCAGGGCATCTTGTAGCCGTGTCTTTTGAAACTACAGCAAAGCTACCTGTTCACTTCCAGGTAAGAGTAAAAAGATTTGGTTTCTGGTCCCAGTTCTACCATTCCCTGGCTGTGTGCCTCGAGAAAATCAGTTCCTCCCTCGTGTCTGACCTTCTTCTAAACTGGAGGTGACAAAGAGGGCCATTCTGAGACCTCCAGAGTTAATGGAACTACAGACATTATTGGTATTTTATATCAAGTATTGTTTGTTTCAACCATTTCCTTCACTGTTTTCTCTGGGTATCCTGATGTTTTTCTAGCACGTTCCCCACCCATAACAAACATTTCAGGAATCACTGGACACTAAACACTCAAACCAAAGGAGCCCAGCACCCAGCAGGTCTCAGGTGAGTTTCTCTGTTCCATGTTTCTCTCTCTGGGAACAGAAATATTTGTCCTTCAAATACTATGACCTTCAAGGCTTTGGCACGTAGTTATTAACAAACCTGATTTGCATGAGTTCCCTTTTTCCATAGATCTGGATTCCTCACAAACTTTAATGTATTCAGCCTGGCCTCACCACGCAGCATCAGCGTGCTCTAATACCTCAGCATGCCATTAATCCCTTCTTCACCTGCTCTCCAGGTGCTTTTCCAGGCTATGTCTCAGTTTCTTGTCAGAAGGAGATCCTGACATGAGTCCTGTGTCTCTGCCCACTGATTTTCCAGAAGGTGCTGGGTAGAAGGGAGCCAACAGACTCTCCAGCCTATTTCCTGGACATCCCAGGACAAGAGTCGTGTAACAGAGAGCAGCTGCCCCACAGCTGAAATATAACTGGAATGCCTAAATGGCTGATATCCACCCTCATTTAGGAAACCTGCAGCATATCCAGGGCTCTGATCACACATTCCAGGACCTGATGCAGGGCTTTAGCTACTCTTCTATCATTCACATGAGTAGAGCTACCACACAGGACACAGACTATCTTGGAATTAATTTCTTTTCACTACAGTAACACACTTCAGCATCACATCTTGGTGTTCTCAGGCATCCCAGGAGAGTTGCACAGCGCTGGCTACCAAGAGATGCTCAGTTGTTCCACTTTTAAGTGTCCTTGTGCCCATTATAACATTGTAATAAAAATAACCAGAAGCGGGTACGTGTTCCCAGCAGGCATCAGTGATTCATAGCAAACTGTACAAACCAATGCATGACATAGATAAAGGCATTTGAAGCCCCAAGACACAACTGTGGTGTGTGTGCACCAGGACTACGTCACCAGGAACCAGAGGACTGCAAAAGCTTATCCCCCACAGCAGGCAACAGTAACTCAGTGGGACAGGTCACATTTGTAATCAGCCAGAGCCCGTCCTTCTCCTGCAGAGAAACTCAAAGCAGAGAGCAGAAAAGTAGAAAAGCTCTGAGAGGCAGCCTGGACAATGTTGTCTGAAGGTTTCCTACAAGGAATATGGACAGTTTAAGCCATGACAGCCAAGGCACTGTAGAAACAAAGGGATTTTATCTCTCCCCAGAGGATGTTATCTCTCCCAAAGGATGCTAACTCTCCCAAAGGATGTTTGCTCTCCCGAAGGATTTTAGCTCTCCACTTGCAGACCTGTGACTCCCCTGGGGAAGGGAATATCTTGATCACAGTCATCATACCTACTTGGGTTTTTGTTTCCTTTTGTTTGTTTGTTTGTTTGTTTTTTACTGGAGACAAAGGTTGAGTGGCTTTTGTCCCTCTTCCCCAGGGCGACCTCACAGACATGGCAAGTTACAGTGCAGGGAAAAGCTGGATCAGGGAGGTTAATAAATGTGCCACACTGGAGAAACAAAGTATTTTATATCCAGTGGGGTGTTCATGACATGAGAGCAGTTACACCATCTCAGACCTAAAAATGAGCTCTACTCGTTTCAGAGGGAACACTCTTGTTTACTAAAGTGAGAATCCAACCCACTGAAATGATTTCTCATTTAAATGTAGTGCAACTGCAGGAGAGTCAAACCCAGCTAGTGCAGTTCTGGAGGTCTGAGGAAAGGGAACTGGTGACATTTGTAGCTGGAATGTGAGAGGGCAGTGCTAATCTGGACCATGAGCTGGTCCTGGGTCTCCGAGTGACCCCCATTCACCCAGAGCTTCTCTTTGCCTTGGTTTTTCTGTCTGTCAGGGTGGGGAAGTGACGTTGACCCTTTTTTGGAAAGTGATGTGACAAGCACAAAGTATTAGACCGTTAGACAGCTGTGGGAAGCACTGAGAGATCTCTTGGAATTACGGATACAGAAACAAGGAAAGATTTTGTCAGCTGGATGCAAGGACTAGAAAAAAAAAAAGACATTCTGACATGCTATTGCTGTTGAAGTCCCCTCCCTAGAGAGGTCTGGTGAGGGCATTTCTCAGTGCCCACTCTTTATCTGAACTCCTCCACATGCCTCAATCCTAATCCAGCACAGCAGAGACTCATCCTATTGTGTTAAAATCAAATGCACTTACAGGTAAATGTCACTCTGCCATAAAGAGAAAGGAAACCACTTAACTTTCTGTTTCTTTGTCTACCTGCCTCCATAATAGTTCTTGTCAATTTACATTATTCATGACTACCAGAGATAACTTAAAATGTATCTTTCAATGGAATATAATGCAAACAGTTTTCTGTGTGGGCAGGGTAAAACAAAATAATAATTACAACACACGATGATAGTGCTTAGAACAAAATATTTTTTCCGTAAAAAGACTTTTGTGGCAGGAACACACACTCCAGCACCGAAAGAAAACACTGAGAGAGAAAAATATCTCTGCTGGTGTATTAGATTCTATCAATGACACTGATGGTTTCATTGTCTAAATAAACATTGTGTGTAGATAAAGTGTGACCTGAAAAGTGAATCATTAGATTGACAGGATAAAGCAAATCAACTTTCTTCTGTCTTTATGCCTCCCACCAGATACATAATCAGACTTCTCCCTATGTGGGCACTCCAACAGCAAAGCATCTGTCAGGATCAGCTATTCTTGTAGCTTGGGTTTGGGAGTTTATGATAATCTGACAAAATTGCACCAGTCCATTTCAGACATTTTTTTTCCCTCTCTTTTCAGCAGTAAGACTACTTAACATTATATCTTCAAATGAGCATTAGCATAGGTAATTTGATTTTGCAACTTGGGATAATGTGTGTGTGTGTATGTGTGTATAAATCACATGTATGGAATTTATTTAGGAAGAAAACACGTTGCAGTGTAGCTGCCCTGTCCTGAATCAGTGAATAGAAAAGCTAAAGGGAAGGTTTTTTTGCTCTAGCTGAGTTTCTGCTGGTTTTTTTCTGGTAGATTTATTCTGCTTTAAAAATGAGGTAACTACTGTTGGACTAAGGTACTCAGTATATCAGGCCCCAAAAGTTGTAGGAAGCACTAAGAGGATACTCAGGAGGTACTTTTATTATATATTTCACTCAGGTTAACTCCACTGTCCAGAGCCAGAGCAGTAAATATTGAGGTGATAGATCTGGCATGAAATAACTGAAGGAAGATCCCGCCCTAACTCACAGCTCCAAGTGAATCCCAAAGACAGCTGACTGCCTCTGGAAGAGAAGATGACAGGGATGTATCCTCCTACAGCCTTAATCAGCACACCCCACGGAACACAGGCCACACAATGACAAACACTTGATGCAAACAAAGCTGGTCAAAAAATACACCTGTGGAAGTGGTTGGATTGTGTTGCACTGTGTGAAAAACAACAGCCCAGGAGGTCACCTGCCAACCTCCAGCTGCTCTGAAATCACCACTGCTCAGAATTTTTTGGCAATATTTTTGCTGGAAGAGGTCCCTCCCATGTTACTACAGAGTCTTGATGAACCCCTGTTTATTCATCTTCCTCGGGACTCTGGTGACCTTTCTGTAGGGTGGAAATGCTTTCAGAAACTATTAATCTCTCCTCTGAGGTGGGCAGAGGGCACCCATGGAGAGAAAGCCTTCCATGATCTTCCTCAGCCTGTCACCAAAGATCAGAGCCAGGGAGGTTTCTTGTGTGGAAATGCACAGGACTAAGAGCAAAGCTTTTACAGGGCAGGGCTCTGGAAAGAGGAAGGGCTGGGAAACACGGGATGGAAAAGCAACACTGCTCAGTAAATATTCATAGATGCTCCCTGTACTCCCCTCACCTCTCCTGCACAATCCCCTTCGCTGCTGCCTTTCACGCTGTCACTCTGTCACTAGAACATTACTTCCTTCACCTTGTGGCTCTTTAATTTAAAGCAGGTTTCTGCATTTGCTCTGAAAAAGTGAAGAGGGAAGAGGGATGGTAGGAAACCCTCCAATCAAGACTCTCTGCTCAAGGACAACAGCACAAATGCAACCCCAGCTTCCTGCATGAGATGAGGTGAAAGGTTTTGTCAGTGTTGATCAGTGTTCATTTCACTAGCACTGATTTCCCATTTTGGTAGAAAGATCAAGGGCTGAATGCTGAGTGGAAGGAAGACTAACCCAACCTTTCTTCCCAGGAGATGATCATTGCAGGTCAGGCTTGAAGCACATTAGCTGGGTATTATAAGGGGAAGCAATGCTGAAACTCCTGCTGTGCCTGTTTGGCAGATAAATAAAGAATTTCAAGCTCTGGGGCAGACAGATCAACAATAAATTCATATTAAGAAGTGTCTGTGAGATTTGCTAACGACTTCAAGTACCTCAGGGCTGGGACCATGGCCTTTCATGTGTTTATAAAACAGGCTCCTCAGCAGAGTCCTGGTCCTGAACAGGACCACAACTAGAGCTTGTACCTCAGCTTTGTGGGCAAACGCGTGCACCAGAGGAGCAGCACAAGTTCAGCAGTGCAGCCCTTAGAGAGTTAAAGGGTCTGGCCCATCTTCTCCCCCTTCTACCAAGCAAGGCAGCTCCTCCCCAAACACAGCTAGAGAGGGGTGATGGGTAAAGCCCTGGACAACAGCTGGGAGCTGAGTTCAGCTCTGGTTGTCACAAACCCCAGAGTGAGTCCAGTGCCTGCTTTGCCACAAGTTTGGTTCTTAACCAAAGCAAAAGAACCTGCGATGGGACTCTCTGAAGGTGTCTGAATTACTTAAGAGCGAGAGAAGTGACTAAAGCCTGGAGTGCTCCTGAACTTCTGGCCCTTAGAGCAGCATGGCCCTTCTCTCTGAACAGCATCCATAAAACTGAACAGAAAATTCAGCATAGAAAGGTGTTGTGAGGTGGAATTTGATGACTTCTTCAAAGCACTATCGTAAACACTGAGTGTCAATGTGTGGCAGCCACAAAGGGAGGGTGAGATGAGGTGGTGGAACAAGGTTCTCTCACTAAATCGCTTTCAGTCAGGCACCTCTGCTTTTGCCATGCAAAGCTGAGGTAGAACTCCCCATTCTGCTACCCCTCCCTATCATCCTGGCATCCAGGCTCCTGACAGGTTTCCCCTTTCAAATTAAACAGGTTCAAATGTGAAAACTCCCCTTGTACTGCGTATTCATGGGACTCTTCTGGGTTGGGCAGGATGTGAGTCTAGCAAGCTGTCACGTAGCAGAGGGGAAGCAGAGGGACACATTGCTGCTCAGAGTTTATATGGACAGCAAATTTATCCTGGCTTCAGGAGGTCCTGCCTTCTCTGCCCCCTCTCCATCATAATTAGACACATCAAAGAGCTGATCTGTCATCTGAAATGGCAAGATGCCTAACATTTATATTAGAAGGAGTCAAGCCCCAAGCAAGCAAAGATCAAGAACATGATGGTGAATGCGAGGAGGGAGATTGAAAGTCTGTCTGTGGACCCCAAGGAAGCTGAAGTGATGGAAAATGTACAAGCAAAGAAGAAAAGGCAATCAACCTTCCAATTAAAATCCCCAAGGATGAGGGTTTTGTCTGTGTTTGTATTAATCAAGGATAAGAAATCAGACAACTCAATGAGACAGGAGGAATTGCACTGAGAAGCAAAGGACAGGGAAAAGCTGGGGGTCACTGGGGGATGGGAGCGCACAGGAAAAAAGAAAACAATGACTAAAAATGTAACTACAAGGTGCTTAAAGGAAACAAAAATCTCCCGAGGTGCCGGGAGTGTCCCAAAGGCGAGACTGGCTTTACTCACCCCTCGACCTAAGCAGCAGGCTCGCTTCAAAGCACAGGCCTACCCAAATATGCTTATGCAAAGAGGTTTTAAAGCTTTTATTGACAGCACTTAGCAACTGTGGCTTTCCTGAGCCTCAGCCCGCCCGAGGTGAATGTTGCGCAGGTTTAATTTCTTCCTCTGGTCGGGGATTGTGCCCCTCGGTGCGGGACACGCTGGGAGCAGCGCAGGGAAGGGTCTTGCCCACCTCTGGAGCTTTGGATCAGGAATTCTGCAGCTGTCCCTGCCTCTGGCACCCACAAGGAGCAGATCTCAGTGGAAGCCATGCTGATTAGCCCAAGGCAGTAGATGGTGTCAGTGTCAGAGCCAGGATTAAAACTCCAGTGGTTTTTGGCTGCCAGTCTGATGCTCGAATCACTAGACCACACCTCTCATTATAAAATAATTGTCTGATTTTCCCTTTGAAATCAAAGCTGTTTACAATTATATGGGAGAGAGCGAGAAAATGCAATCTGGGATGGTTCTCTTTAAAAGCATTTGCACCTTTTTATGTAAAATTTCAGCTTAAACAAACCCTCTGCGAGCAATTGTTGGGGGACTCTTAATTAAACCCTTCTTTTCCTTTTAATTTAGCAGAAGGATTTCTTGTCCCTTTTGGTGAAACTCTCCAGATAAAGATAAATTTGTGTATTCTTATCTTATTGAGAACTGCTGATTGTGATGAATATAAAACATTCCACTTTCAGCATAACATAAATGTCTACTGCTGAAGACTTTGACAATGGAGAGGTTATGAATGTATGAGATTATTGTTCAGGGAGCAAGTTTTTCTTGAAATAATTCAAAACAAGCTCATAACACCATACAAATTAGTATTGATCGTGTGTTTCTGTATGAATTGGGTGATTTTCTACTACTACTAATGAAACAGCACAATTTTGAACAATTAAGCCTTCCTAAGCAGTGAAGTGGTGAGCAGACCATCCTGCTGGATGCCTTGAACGTCCTTAAAAATCCACAGAACGAGGC